TGCCTTAAGAATGGGAAATAGTGTAAGTTAGAGCCAAGAAGTTAGGGCTAGCTAGTGTGCAAAGGTGCTTGCTAAGATTGATCTCTGGGACCCACATGGTAGAAGGAGAGAACAGACTCACAAATTGTTCGCTGACTTCCTCACACTGTAGCATGTGTACACACCATCACTCTTCAAAAAATAAATGTCATTTTAAAACATTTAAAAAGAATGGGAAGTGACACCAAGGTCATGAGATAATAAGACAGGTATGTGATCCCTTGACATTCCCTGATTACTATTCTCTCTCTCATTCCCTCCCTCCCTCTTTCCATTCTTATTAAGATCTGTCTTAGTTACTATTTCTGTGATAATATCTTGACAAAAGCAACTTAGGGAAGAAAGGCTTTATTTTGTCTCACAGTACAAGGATGCAGTCAAGGCAGCAGGAGCCTGAAGAGGCAGGTCACATTGCATCCATAGTCAAGAGGCAAAGAATGATGAATGCATGTGTTCAGCTCACTTTTTCCTTTTTTATACAATCCAAGATCCCAGTCCACAAAATGGTACCAACCATAGCAATTAGGTCTTTTTCAGCCTAATCAAGATAATCCCCACAGGCATGCCCAGATGTGAGTCTCCCTGGTAGTCTTAGATCGCAACAAGCTGACAAATTAACCATAACATCTATCTGTGAATTACTGACATTAACATCTAAAATTTTCTCTGAATAAGTGACATACTGTTAATACCTACCTATGAATGGTGACATCTTAAAAGTCTACCTATGAATGATGACATCTTCTTACCATCTTTGAATAGTGACATCTTGTTAATATCTACCTATGAATAGCTCTTTATGATAGTATTCAAAATTCCCTTAAAGCAGATATTTAGATATTTCCTCACTATCCATTCCCTTAATAGCTGTTGGAGAATTCATTCAGATATGTGGTGTCTGAAATCAGTGCAATATATCTGAAGTTGCTGTCCGTTCTTCTTTTGTATGGAGATCCAAAGATAAAATAGGAACTGGCCCCGGGGGTCTTGGTCTCTCACTCTATAGCTAGAATCAGTGCTTCTAAAGAGTTTGCCTGGGGCTGGAGAGATGGATCAGTGGTTAAGAACACTGGGTGTTCTTGCAGCAGACCGAATTTCAAATCCCAGCACCCACATGGAAGCTAACAACTGTCCATAACTCCAGTTCCAAGGGATCCAACAGCCTCTTCTGTCCTCTGCAGGCATTGCATGACTCGGGTGCACTTACCTACATGCAGGCAATACACGCATACATTTAAAAAAAAATAATACGGGGTTGGGGATTTAGCTCAGTGGTAGAGTGCTTGCCTAGCAAGCTCAAGGCCCCTAGGTTTGGTCCTCAGGTCCGGAAAAAATAAAATAAAATAAAAACAAAAATAATTTTAAAAAACTTTTTAAAAAGGAGTTTTCCTGGATGAGCAGATGACCTAAATAAGCCTGAATTAAGGTCAAAGGTGTGATACAACTGCAGAAATGAATCTCAAAAACATCGTAAGTGAGCTGGGTGTGGTGGCGCATGCCTTTAATCCCAGCTCTTGGGAGGCAGAGGCAGGTGGATCTTCACGAGTTTGAGGTCAGCCTGGTCTATATAGTGAGTTCCAGGACAGCTGGGGCTACAGGGAGACTTTGTCTTAAAAAGACAAAACAAAACAAACAAACAAATCACATCATAAGTGAAAGATGTCTGATACCAACAGCAACATTGCGTGAGCCCATTTCCAGGCCATTCTGGAAAGACAAAACTATAGAGTCGGGAAACAGATAAGTACATGATAGATTGGAACAGAACACAAGACTGCAAAAAGTCATAAAATAATTTGGGGGCTGATTGAATGTTTTATTTACTGGTTGAAGTGTCAGTTATATACCTAATATGTAAAACTCATATTATATACTAAACTGGTAAATTTTAAGTCAGGTGTGGTGAAACATATTTGTAATTCCATAGGATGCTGAGGCAAGAAGGTCATAAATAGGAGATTTGAGGTTAGCCTGGACTAGTCAATGAGACAAAGTTAGTAAAAACAGGCAAATTCTACTCATCTAAATTATACCTCAACAACTGAAGTACAATTGATTCTTCTTGCTAAATGTGAGGACAAATTCTATAGAGAGGATGAGCTAGGTAACATTTATTTCCCTTCCAAGTCCTATGATTTTATGACATCTGTTTCTTCTATACGGGGTGGCCTCAGAGCCATAGTAATTAGAGTTAAGTCTGGGCTCTGATTCTCTGGTGAAGCAGGAGGCATTCTGATGGAATCATATGACTGGGTCCATATATCTTTACCAACATTGTAAGAGCTCTGACTATACTCTGGTCTGTGACACAGGTTTCCTTCTTTTTCTGTCCTGACCCCTGATGGGACTAATGAGGGATTCAGACAATTAATAAACATGTCAGAATAAAATTCAAGACACTGGTTTTATCGCTTTGCACAGGCTTCCTGTCTGGACACCATTTGATCGTTCCAGTAACATTTAAATAAGGCAACATAAGAACCACCATTTCCTCTATTGCTCTTTGGCTTTTACTTTTTTCTACTAGATTCTTTTATTTATTTTTTTTTTTTATTTTTTGGTCTTTTTGAGACAGGGTCTCCCTGTAGCCCCAGCTGTCCTGGAACTCACTATGTAAACCAAGCTGGCCTTGAACTCACAGAGATCCACCTGCCTCTGCCTCCCAAGTGCTGGGACTACAGGCGTGCAACACCATACCTGGGTTATTTTTTATTTTTATGATTATTTATTATTATATTTGTGTGTACACATGTAAGTGTATGTGTATGAGTGTACATATGTGTGTGCCTTTGGTATAATTAGAAAAAGTTTCAGAGATGACTAAAATATATAGCAAAAACCATATTTTGGCTTTTTACTCAAAAGTATATACATCTGCAGGAAATGGCTGTTCAGGTCTCCCCTGAAAATATTTTCATTTCCAATAATATTTCCTAAGGACATATTCCTGCAGTGATTTTTTGGCTTCATATATAAATATAATGATACTGAACTATGAAAGGCCACATAAATGGGATTTTGTTTTGTTTCTTTAGAGACGGGGTCTTGTTAAGCTACTCGGGTGGCCTCTAACTCACAACCCTATGTACTACTATGCCACCTTATAGATTTTGTTTTGCTTCTTCCCAACTTTAGGGACAGACTTTCACAGAGTACCCTAAATAGCTGCTGGTCTGTGATCACAGAATTGAGCAAGGCTTGCTGGCCATTATGGAGACTGAAGGATAACCTTCTGTGGTGCTCAAACCAAGACAATGCTAGTGCTTCTCAGAAACAAAGATACCCTATAGATTCACTTGCCAGACCTCTACCTCCCCTGGAAACCTGAGAAAGAGCTAAACAAAACTACAAGGCATAGGAAGGATAACCAATAGCTTCAGCCAGCAAAGCCTTGGCTGGTCCTCTCAGTCCTCAGCCAGCTGATCTATAGAATTTGCCTCTTACATACTCTTGCGGTCATGCAGACTAGCTGTCCATCCCTTTCACAGTCTGCCTAGGAGCATAAGTACAAGTGTAAGACCTTAACGAGATTCTAGCCTCCAGGATTCCACATGCATTCATTATTCACCCTTCTGCTATACATAATTCAAGGTCATGTTTGAAATGAGCCCCACTGGACTATCACAGCAGCAGAACACTAACTGCACTGACTTACACCTACTTGAATCATGCTGAGGCACAATGGACACCAGCCAAGCTCCCACACCCTGACCAAGCAGCCTTTTCCCATCTCCTTTTTGTTGTTGTTTTTCTTTTGTTTTCTTAAAATTTTATTTATTATTTTTATTTTATGTGTATGTGTGTATTGCCTGCATGTAGGTAAGTGCACCCATGTCGTGCAATGCCCACAGAGGACAGAAGAGGCTGTCGATCCCCTGGGACTGGAGTTATGGACAGTTGTGTTAGCTGCCATATGAGTGCTGGGATTCAAACCCAGGTCTTCTGCAAGAAGAAGCAGTGTTTTTTTGTTTTTTTTTTTTTGTTTGTTGTTGTTGTTGTTTTTTTTGGTCTTTTTGAAACAGGGTCTCTCTGTAGCCCCAGCTGGCCTGGAACTCAATATGTAGACCATGCTGGCCTTGAAGTCACAGAGATCCACCTGCCTCTGCCTTCCAAGTGCTGGGACTACAGGCGCATGCCACCACACCCAGCTAGAGGCAGTGTTCTTAACTGCTGAGCCAACTCTCCAGCCCCTCCTTTGTTGTTTTTTTTTTTTAAACTGATGCCACTCATACCATTTTTCAGACAAAAACATCTTTAGTTTCTGACCAAAATATGATAATAAACAGCACCCAGATTCTGAGGTAATTTACCTGAGTATCCAGTTATAAAGAACTGAGGAAATAATGTTACTCAAACTACCAGCTTAAATTTTTAAATTTTTATTGTATGTATGAGTGTTTTGCCTGCATGTATGTAGGCGCACCACAATGCCTTTGGAGCCCAGAAGAGGGTGTATAATCCCCTGAAACTGTAGTTATGGATGGTTGTTAGCCACCATGTGGGTGCTGGAAACCAAACCCAGGTCCTCTGCAAGAGTGTAGCCAGTGCTTTTAACTTCTGAGCCATCTCTCCAGCCCCGAGAACTACTAACTTTAAAAGGCCAGTAATACATTGAAGTGTTTTCCTTTTAGCTGGGCATGGTAGCACATACCTTTAATCCCAGCACTGGGGAGGCAGAGGCAGGTGGATCTCTGTGAGTTTAAGGCCAGGCTGGTCTACATAGTGAGTCCCAGGCCAGCCGGGGCTACAGGGAGCCCCTTCCTCAAAAAGACCAAAAAATAAAAATAATAAAGTGTTTTCCTTTTGAAAATTAGTTTTTGTATTAAGATTTTCGCAAAGTTCAAAGTACCAATTAGAGTATTTCCAATCTGTGCAACTGCCATAATAACCTTGAAAAGTACATTCACAGCAAACACTTTTTAAAAGAAAGAGAGTAGAGGAAAAATGACAAATGACATTACCGTTTCCTGAGAAGCATACCCAGGGTCCTCTGAGTTGACTGACCAATAGCAGTAATCAAAGCCAAATGCTACAACCTTCTCCCGGGAGTCTCCAAAGCTCTCTGCTTGACTGTCGATCTAAAATTAAACACAGAATCCAGTGTCTTCTTTGCCATAGCATCAGAAGCTAGTCAGCGGCACTTGATTATTCTCTACTATAATTACAGAGACTGGGGCTAATCACAAGAATGTTTTTGATATCCACGAAGGAAAAAGGTAATATTTGTCTCTGTTTCATTAGGTACAAAGACCCAGGAAACTAAGTCTGTCTGTCACACTAGCATGTATCTGCTTATATATGCACCAAACATATGAGATGTAGGGCAGCTCAGATGAGCAAGCTTCTTCTCTGGACTTCTTCATCACTCATTTCTTCTCTAAGTATCTCTGCAGAGGATACTGATGGTGCATGTGTGTACAAGGCTTTCAGAAGGATGTTCCTTCAGGGAGAATGGGAAACCATGCTAATAAAAACATTTTGGATTAAAAAAAGTTAAAACTTGGGTTTGGAGAAATGGCTCAGTGGTCAAGAACACTGCTTGTTCTTGCAGAAGACTGGGGTTTGAATCCCAGCACCCACATGGCAGCCAACAAATGTCCATAAGTCCCAGGGGATCTGACAGCCTCTTCTGTCCTCTGTGGGCATTGCACAACATGGGTGCACTTACCTATATGCAGGCAATACACACATACACATAAAAGACTACAGAAGAATGGAGCTATCATAGTGAATAGGAGCTTGTTCCTGGATAACTGACCTTAGGGAAGTCAGCAGGGAGGTGTGTAGGGGGCAGATTAAAGTTTGTTCTTGGCCAAGATTCTCCAGACCTGAAAGTATGAGATCTTAGAACAAAACAGCTGAAGTGATTAAGCCACAGAGATAAATGAGAGATGGCAGAGAATAAAAGGTCTTTTGTCCTCCACAAGCTCCTGTTGAAACTTTGGCAGGGTCCATTCTCTCAGCAAAGAGCTAATGACAAGAGGAAGCAGATCATATCACAGAAGTAACATGGTAGTAGACACAGCTCTGAGGCCTGGGGTCCAGATACCACTCTGGCTGGTCAGCCTTCTCTGTTCTCCGGAATGCTGGCTGATACCCAACTACAGCAGTGGTCATGTGGTCACCTTCCTGGCTTCTTTCCACTGCTCAGGCCTACAAAGAAGAACCCTTCCATCTTCCGTTTCAGGAAGGATGGAGGAAGTTGGCTCTAGGAGGGGCTGAGGAGTAGGGAAGTTCCCTGTGTCTGTCCAATTGTGATTCAAAGTTCAGTCAGGTCTGTGGAAGAAAATCTGCAACAAGACTCAGGCTAGTGACCAACTCCCTTCTGGGGTCTGAAAGCTGATGTGTGGGCCTCACTATGGCCAATAAATAATAAATCCTGAATTATTAGGCACACACTAAAGTCCCTAATTATGTCTCTAGATAAAGTGATATGAGTTGAGGGGCTCAGAACAAAGTCTAACTTGTGGTCAGTTGAGTTAGTATTCATGTAGATTACCCCGGCATAAATAAAGCTAATCATAGCCCCCATAACATCACCCATGCAGCTACCAATCTGTTTCTAAAATAGCTGCTTGCACCTTATTTGACAGAACTTGAGCTATAAGAGCCACATCTGTACTCTAAACATCAAATTTTCTTTATTTGCTTTCCAAACTTTTCCCACAATCCTCTTATATCTCTAGTCTCCCTTATATCAAACATATTCACCCCCCAGAGGACACATGTAATTATAACAGCTCCTCAGTAGAAAAAAAGAATAAAACAATTCCAGGCTTACCTTTAAATTCCTGATTTTTGCCACTTTGTTGTCAATTTCCACAATGATTCTTCCTCCTTCTTTGATCTCCCTAAGAAAATCAGTATTCAAATAAGAAGAAATGTTTTTTGTCTGGTTGGGTTTTTTTGTTTTTTGTTTTTCCTGTTATTATTGTTTTGTTTGAGACAGGGTCTCCCTGTAGCCCCAGCTGGCCTGGAACTCACTATGTAGACCAGGCTGGCCTCCATCTCACAGAAATCTGCCTGCTTCTGTCTCCTGAGTGCTGGGATTTTTAAAAGCGTGTGCCACCACACCCAGCCGTTTTGCTTTTTGACACGGAGTTTCAGGTAGACCAGAAAACTCACTGCGTAGATGAGGATAACCTTGTGCTATGAGCCTCCTGTCTTCACTTCCCAAGTGCTGGGATTATAGACTTGTGCGACCATACCTGGCACCTCTTTTTTAAAAAAAAAAAAAAATCATGGGGCTGGAAATGGCTCAGCAGTTAAGAGCACTGACTGCTCTTGCAGAGGACCCAGGTTCAATTCCCAGCACACACATGGTGGCTAACAACCATCCATTAACTCCAGTTCCAGGGGATCCAATGCCCTTTCTGACCTCTGTGAGCATGGCAAGATATGAGTGCACTTACATACATGAAGGCAATACACTCATACACATAAAAAAAAAAATCCTTTACGGGGCTGAAGAGATGGCTTAGTGGCTGAGTACTGAATGCTCTTGCAGTGGAACTGGGTTTGGTTCCCAGGACCCACATGGCCACTAACCATCCATAACTCCAGTCCCAGGGGATTCAATATCCTTTTCTGACCTCTGAGGGCATTGCACAACATGGGTACACTTATATCTGTGCACTCATACACATAAATTAAAAATAATTTTTTAAGCTGGGTGTGGTAGCACATGCCTTTAGTCCCAGCACTCAGGAGGCAGAGGCAGGCAGATCTCTGTGAGTTCAAGGCCAGCCTGGTCTACATAGTGCATTCCAGGTCAGATGGAGGCTACAGCGAGACTGTCTCAAAAAGAACAAAAAAAATAGAAAATAATTTTAAAAAATTCCCTTTAAAAATTAAATGGCATTTCTGTTACTTAAATTTCCTTGTTTTTTTTTTTTTTTTGTTGTTGTTGTTTTTTCCTTAAGGCCCTGATGTACTTTTTTGAGAACTTTATAGATGAAGTCCAGGGGTGCTCCTAAAATCCCAGGATTATCAGTCCATCAGATGCTAAATGCTACTCACCTCTGCTCTTCTAAAGAAATGCTGGCATTAGAGGTGGTGGACCACTACAAGGAAGCAATGTTTTCCAGACAGCAGGACAACTGTACATATGAATTCATAGCAATTGTGACAGCATGCACAAAACCTATGAAAGTTCAAGCCAGACAAATTCCCAGCATGCACAGGGTGGGGGTAAGAAACCCTAGCCCTAACTAAGGAACTATTAGCAATTGCTAATTGCTGGGAGAGGGAGAGTCAGTTTTCTTTAAGGATGTGATGCCGGGTAGGTTGGTCAGGCTTCAGGGAATGAACCCATACCAAAGAGCATTTGGAGAACAAACTGAGCCTAATTTATTAGACTCAATAGTCCTTTAAAATATAATAGAGGTCATGAAGTCGGGGGGAAGGAGGTAGTAAGGTGGGGTTGGAGATAAGGGAGGGGGTCTGAATATGATCAAAAACATTGTAGGAAATTCTCAAGTAATCAATAAAAAAAAAGTTGGCATTAAATTTTAAGAGAGCAGAAAGGATACCAGTCTCAGTGAAAGAGTTGACCTCAATGAGCTCAACTCATTCCTAAGAAAAGGCCCTGAACAAGACAAAGTGGCTGCTACTACCACTGGCTTCTGAAACCTAGCAGCAGAACTCATTCTTCAGAGTTAAAGGTTTTGAACAGGAATAAGTCCACAGGGCTGCCGCATCAGAATTATGGGGAGTGGGCGAGGACTGCATTCATTCAAGTATTCAAGGATGGGGTGGATGATAAGCTCTTTAGGTAAATTTTATGTGTACTATAGTTTAAAAACCACTATCCTAGAGGCTGGAGAGATGGCTCAGCAGTTGAGAGCACTGACTACTCTTGCAGAGGACTTGGGCTTGATTCCCAGCACCCACATGGTGGCTACAAACTGTCCTTAACTCCAGTTCAGGGGAACCTGAAGCCCTCTTCTGACCATTGTACAACACGGTGCACTCACATACATACAGGCAATACACTCATACGCATAAAATAAAAATAATAAATAAAATGTATTTTAAAAAACCACTATCCTAGAGGGGAATAGAACCAAAATGCTATGAATTCGTATCTATTTCCCTTTGTAAAACTGTAAAAAACCAGACAGTAAAGTTAAAGCATCAGAAGAATAAAAAGTCACTAAAAAATCATAACTTAACACTTGATTAGCCACAAGAGAGAGTAACAAAAAAGGATAAGATAAAAAAAAAACCTGTTATTTTGTACAAGTAATATATGCTAACAAAAGTCTAAAATCATATTAATTTTTATAAACACACTGAAATGGTTATCCCTATTTTTTAAATTAAAAAAAAATGATGTGTATGAGTGTTATTCCTGCATGTATGAAGGGGAACTCATGTCATGCAGTGTTCATGGAGGTCAGAAGAGGGTGTCAGATCCCCTGGAACTGGAGTTACAGATGGTTGTTAGCTGCCATGTGGGTGCTGGGATTCAAATTCTGGTCTTCTGTAAGAACATCCAGTGCTCTTAACCACTGAGCCATCTCTCTGGTCCGGTTATCCCTATTTTATAAATAAAAGATAAAGAGTTAGTTCGGTGGCATACATGGCACATGCCTTTAATCTCAGCACTCAGAAATCAGAGGCAGGTGGATCTCTACGAGATAGAGGCCAACCTGGTCTACCTAGAAAGTTCCAGGCCAGCTGGGGCTACACAGAAACTCTGTCTCAAAAAACAAAACAAAACAAAACAAAACAAAAAATAAAGAATAGAAGAAACTATATATATAGCAGATGAAAAGTTACAGGGAGCAGGGCAGAGACTAAAAAGTGGCAGGTGTATTCTCTCAGTGGTCAATGATTTTGGATAGACAAGGAGCAGCATCCTATAATGACACACAGAATCTCTGATTATGGGAAACAACTGAGGTTGAAGGTAGGACTTCAAAACCACTTCTGTATCACTATTTTATTCAGGGTTCATTCTAGTCCTTCCAAACAAAGGAGCATTTGGGGGAATCTCAGGAAGCAGTGTGGTCTAATGAATCAAATTCTGCTTTTGGGACTTAAGACCATGTTCTCATCTGGAAAAAAAAAAAAAAAGTAAGCTTGGCCCAGATGATGGTTAAGATTTCTTCCCAAGCACAACATCAGATCCACTTATTAACTGAAACTGTGCCAATGACTTATTTTAAGGTTGAAACTACAAAAAAAATCAGCAGATTCTCCACATGCGAAAGAGCCTCAGTAAGGATAGTGGCTATCACCACTATCTGCAAAATTCTGTGGGAAGAGAGGAATGGTCTGATCTGGACTTCTTAGCTGAGGTCACACTGAGTATTTCTGTATCTGCCTGGGACTCCGTGACCATGAGCCTGTAGCCTCCTAAAATGTGCTTCCACCTGGAGATCAGCAGTTTTGGCATTCTACCACTTGCATTTAAGCCTCTTCACTTGAGCTAAAAGTAAGTTTTGAGGTCTTCTTTTCACTTTTATTGGATGAGATCTGTTACTGTCTACAATAATTGCAAACAACAATGAATCTCAACATCATTTTCTTCATCTAATTCATGCTAGTTGAAATTCCTAGTTTCTTGGGGCTGGAGAGATGGCTCCGCAGTCAAGAACACTGGTTGTTCTTGCAGAAGACCCGGGTTCAAATCCCAGAACCCACATGGTAGCTAACAATTGTCTGTAACTCCAGTTCCAGGAAATCCGAGGGCCTCTTCTGTCCTCACGGGCATTGCACGACACAGGTGCACTTACCTATATGCAGGCAATACACTCATACACATAAAATAAAAATAATAAAATATTAAAAAAAAGAAATTCCTAGTTTCCAAGGAACTAAGAAGTTACTGTTAAGAGTGCTGAATGTTGCTATCATAAGAACTCTATAAGAGGGGCTGGAGAGAGATGGCTCAGCAGTTAAGAGCACTGATTGCTCTTGCAGAGGACCCGGGTTCAATTCCCAGCACCCACATGACAGCTACAAACCATCCTTAACTCCAGTTCCAGGGGAATCTGAAACCCTCTTCTGACCTCCGCGGCACTGCACGACATGGGTGAACTCACATACACACAGGCAATACACTCATACACATAAAATAAATTTTTTTTAAAAAACCCTAAAAGAATAGTTGGGAAAGAACAGGATCTACCAGAGGCTACCTTCTGGGTCCTAGATGCACCTCCAAAGCCCCCAGGCCTGAGTCAGCACAGGCAGTTATGCAAAGCCAGATGTTGAAAAAAAACCACTGACCAACCAAAACACAGCAGTTTAAGTACCCGCTGCTTTCCTTTCCTCCTATTCCCCATACTCTCTTCTCGTTTCTCCTGTCTACTCGCTTTTCAAGGTGAATGACCTCTATGAGGCCAAATATAATCTCCAATAGCACCAATATTTGTTATGGGAGACAAGGTCTTTCTTGAGCTCTGTGTCCAATTATCAAACCATCTTATGTCCTGGAAAAAAATTAAATTACTAATTCTAATATGTACCATCTAACCAGGAAGCACACTGTCAATTTTATTGCCTATCCCTCACCTGCCCTCCCAACCAAGACTTCTCTTGGCTTCCTAACAGCCTAAATCACTTTTCTGGTTCTTACTCGAGAGAGCTGCACTTTCTACACCTGTCAGCAAACTCCAAAGACCATTCAGAAGAGTTCAGACCCCGACATTTCCGTACAGCCTTCTCTGACTTTCCAAATGAACCGGGGAAAAACGAATCAAATACGTAGTTGCACACAGGGCTTAGAGGGCTGAGAGGTGCAGAATCAGATGCACCCTGAGGAACTAGCACTGAGGACGTCAAGAAAACGGGTGACAATAACTTCCTCTACTTCACAGTTCTGTCCTTGAAGAAGTCGTTTGTTGAGCGAGGCCGAAACCACGATCTCTCCGGGCCTCAACTTCCCTTTCGTGTCCTACCAATCCTTCCCTCCACCTCACGTCCTTGCAGAGGAAACCCATGCGCATCTACACACACAAACCCTTCTGCTTCAGTCTTCACTTGGGTACTCCAGGGACAACGAGAGAAGCCTGCCCATCCTTCTGCAGCCTCACACCAGGCCCTACCCTGCGCACCAAGACCAACCACGGTTCCTAGAAGCTGCTGCAGGCGGGATGCCAGGGGCGTGCATACAGGGAGCCACCGGCGGACCGCTAGCCTCCAGCTCTCGACTCCGAAGCTCGACCCGAGGCCCTGTCCCGTCAAGCCTTCAGTTTTCGGACCCGGAGCCCCTCAGTCACTGCTTGTCTAATCTTTCTCTGCGCCAGAGTCCACTGAGAGGAAAGCGGAGATCTCCAGCGCCCCTTCAGTTCACTTGACGCCTCAGGCGGCCCCTCCTGACCAGACTCACCTCTTGCTGAGAGGCCGAACCCTCATTGCCACCCGCACATTCGCCATCCTTCGGCCACAACCCAAGACCGGCACGTCGATACGGCGAAGGCATCCCTGGCCTGCGCCACAACCACAGCCACCGCACGGCCTCAGCCAGCCCGACCCGACCCACGCTACTCCAGTGCCTCCCTCAAAAACCCCAGCCTGTCTCAGGGGGTGGGGCCTACAGAGCCTCAGCCAATCCCGAAGCAGGTAGGCGGGAGACGCCCGGCCCGGCCCACCCCTCGCCTTTCCCCAAGCGCCCCGCCCAAGTCCGAGCCCCGACTGAAAGGGACTGGGCCCTCCGAGCCTCAGCCAATCCCAAGGCAGGTGGGCTGGAGAACGCCGGGCCCGCCTCACTCCGCCCCTCGCACCTCCCCAGACGCCCCAAGTCCGAGCCGCGCCCGCGGTCTGCAGAGCCTCGGCCAATCCCGAGCCAGGTGGGCGAGAGGACGCCCGGCCCGCCGCGCTTCGCTCCGCCTCTCGAGCCTCCCCAGATACCTAGCTTAAGCCCCAGCCCTGCCGGATCCAGACTAGGTCTGCAAACCCTGAGCCAATTCTGAGCTCTGTGGGCACGTTCTTCTCTGGCCCAGAATAATGCTGGATGGTATTTGCTCTTATACTTGCTGAATTCGTTATATTTTTTTGGTTAATGCCGGAAAGTTTATAAAGTAAATTGTTTAAAATATTTAAAAATATTTTATTATTTTTTAGTGTATGGGTGCCTTACTCTAGGGACGGGTACATTCAAATGAACAAGAAAAAGGAACTGGTATGACTCAGCACCTCAGTTCTACCACTGGAGTTCTAAAGTACCCTCGTGACTGGTATCTTCAGGTCTTCCACACGTCTCACTTCTCAGACTAGTCCCCAAATAGCAGGCAGAGTAATCCTTTCAAGGTATAAATCAGGGGCTGTAGAGAAGGCTCAGCTGGTAAAGGCACTGATGACTTGTGTTGGATCCTCAGGACCTACATGTTGGAGAGAACTGACTCCCAAAAGTTGTCCTCTGTCCTCCACTCATGTGTTGTGGCACACACACACACACACACACACACACACACACACACACACGGAGAAATGTAAAACAAAAAATTTTAAAGTGCGAATCAAATCATTTTATTCCTTCCCCTAAAACTTTCCTATGTTTTCCTAGTTCACTTAGTAAAATCCAGAGACTACCATGGTCTCATGCTATTTTGATGATCCCTACTCTGTCACTCTGTCCCTCCATCCTACCTACACTAGGTTTCTTCTAAGGCTGTCTACTTAGTGCCTTTACCTTGGCCTGCTCCCTATATTTGCCCTTTTAGACAACAGCATGTATGTTTGTTTTGATGCCAAGTTTTGTTATGTAGTCCAGACTGTCATGGAACTCAAAACCCTCCTGCCTCAGCTTCCCCAGCACTGGGAATGGGATTATACTTCCCCACCATGGCTGCATGGCTTTTTTTCATCTTTTCTATTTTTCCCAACTGTCAGGTTCTTACGAGGCATTCCTTGATATATTACCTAGAATTTCATTACTCTCTTCTGCTTACCTCCATATCAGTTTACTTTGAAATACTAACAACAGCTGAATCACACTGGAGAGGCTGAGAATCTGGTAGTTGTTCAGTCCATGGGACTAAAGGCTTGTACCACCATGCCTGGCGCTTCCTACTTTTTTTTTTTTTATGAGACAGGGTCTCCCTGTAGCCCCAGCTGTCCTGGAACTCACTATGTAGTGCTGGGATTAAAGGCGGACACCACCACGCCCAGCTAACTTTAGTATTAAGTCAAGAAATTTCTTGGATTTTCCTCTTCCTCAAATCTTCCTGATTTGACTGAAAGTTTTAAAGGACAAATTAGGGCTGTGTCTGGTAGAATCACAGACCCCAGCAAGGAGTAAACTAATTAAAATGCTACAAAACTCAGGCAGAGTCCTTCAGAATAGTCTTCACAAATGCGCATCATGATTATGCTGGAATTAAATTTGCAAATCTCCCGTTCCTCTTCTAGTGTAAGTAGGAATTTAAAAAAAAAAAGCAGCTGAATTTTAAAGTTTGACCAAGACAGTTAATCAAACCCTCACTGCTAAGTTGTTCTACTTCCTGAATTCTCAGAAAATACAACTTTTTCTCTGTCCCCTCCCTTTTTCCAGATACCCAGCAAAAGTCTGAGCCTGCTTGTCTGACACTCCCACCCTACCGGCCGCAGCTGCTCCAGGACTTCCATTGCTGAGCCTGCCTGATGCTTTATTTATTTTATCTTCCTATATGTTTATGTGCACTGTAGCTGTGTGAATAACACACCTTGAGACAGGGTATTTTGTTTCCCTCTGTATATGTGAGGCCAGCTCACCCTCCTTTCTCTGCTCCCCATCTTGCTGGAAGGTGGCCAGCTTTAAGTGGGTTCTGAGAATTTGAACTCAGGTCTTCACATTTGTGCAATGCTTTTACCCTCTGAGCCATCTCCCCAGCTCCTGACTGCTTTATTGTTCTCTAACTCACAAATTTCTTCTTATTTAAAAAATTTATTTTATGTATGAGTGTTCTGCTTGTATGTAAGGGCATGCAATGTCCTGGAGGCCAGAAGAGGGCATCTGATCCCCTGGAGCTGGAGTTACAGAGGGTTTGTTAGTCATCATGTGGGTGCTGGGAATTGAACTTGGGTCCTCTGCAAGAGCAGCCAGTGCTCTTAACCAGAGTTATCTTTCCAGTTCCACTTTCTCTCTTCTTAACCATCTCCCTACTCCATGCAGCTGCTGAGATATCAAGCTCGCCTGCCCTTAAAATTACCTTTGAGCTTCACAAAAAATAAAGTTTGATTAAGCCAACCACTGCGGCATGTGCCTGTCTTCCCAAGATGTTGTAAGCTGAGGCTGGAGGATTGCTGAATCCACAACTTAAGGCCAGCCTGGGCAATGGAAAAGACCAATTCTCTCCTCTCTTACTATATTGGTTTTTCCCCTTAAGCCCTTGTGAGTCTGATAGCTTGAATGCCCATTACTATGTAATCAAAACTACTTTCTTTGTCACTTGGGATTCATATTGAGGCCACAACATTTTAGGTGGAAATTAGTTTATTTTTATATATCAAGGAATTAATAGGAAACAGAAACACAAAACCACCATGGATATCAACAATGGTGACATGATACAGAATATGTCTACACACAAATCCATAGGAAATCAAATAAGGAAATAGGCAAGATACTAAGATTTGTAATAAAATACAACTAAGGATTTTGCTAAGTGTCAAGGTGATATAAAGGGCAGTTTGGTCTTAATGAGCCTAAAATACTGGTACTCCAATATTCTCCTACTATATATATTTTCACGTTTATCTATTTTGTATGTGCATTGTGTGTCTGTGTGTAGGCAGGAGAACAACCTGTGGGAGTCAGCTCCCCCCTTCCATCATGTTGGTCCAGGAGATCGAACTCAGGCTATAAGGCTTGGCAGCAGGCACCTTTACCCACTGAGCCTTCTTTTTGGCCTTGGCACTCCAGTATTAAGAGGGCTCTTTCAGTGTTGTTAGCAGCAAAGTCTATCAATATTCATGTCATAATCAGCAAGAAATGCACTTTATATGACTACATGTAATTAAGCAAAAAGAAAGTTGATAATCACTTGGCATTAATGGGCTGGCCATGAACTTTGGAAATAAAAGGTAAAGGAGATATTATACCACATTTATGAAGATAATTTTCTTCAGTTAGTATTTTGGGGATACACGAGGTAACTTCCTTTTGTTGTTCTCGCCACTTGAGTATACTTTCTGCCAGTTCTTCTGTCTCAGTCACCAAAATATCCATCTTGGCTAAAGCTTTGCTCTGGAACATTTGAAATAAAGGGAAAATAGAAATCTTGTTTGTCATTAACTATCATTATGTCACAAATGGTTACATCAAAATGTTAACATCTGATCTTTTTCTAACTACAAAAATCTCTTAAAAACTGCTCTCCCCTTTCACACAGTACATAGCTTTTCTCTGTTCACTGCTTTGTCATCAATTATCAATTCAATGCAAATTACCCTCAATCTATCTGGTTAATCCTACCCTCTTCCTGAAAGGAAAGGCACACATAGCCCCATGTTTAAGCACATTGACAATCTTGGGATGTACATTCAATATCTCATTCACCAAATAATGCTTGAACATTTATTACACATGCAAGACATAAAAAAAATAAACTCTTTAACTTTTTAAAAATCATGCTGGATCCTGATCATCTTCAAATCACCTAGGCTGGAGAGAAAGCTGAGTGATTAAGAGCACTTATTGCTCTATAAGAGAACCAGAGTTCAGATCCCAGCATCCACATCAGATAGCTCCAAGGGATCTGATGTCCCCTTCTGGCCTCCATGAGTGTGTGTGTGCGTGTACCCAGACAGACACACAGACACACACACACAAATAGTAATAAAAACCTATACAACCCTTTAGATTCCTATACTTTAAATTTTTTCATTTGAATAACTATCTTCATTTGAAGAACTATTAGTCTTCACATTTTCCTTACTAATTCTTGTATAGTAGATCACATTTTAATATGTTCTTTGTTGTTTCAAGACAGGTCTCACTATGTAGCTTGACTGGTCTGGAACTATGGTAATCCTCCTGCCTCAGTCTCCCCAGAAATGGGATTAGAGTGTGCATGTCACCAAACTTGGTTTAAATTGATTCTAGGGGCTGGAGAGATGGCTTAGTGGTTAAGAGCACTGATTGCTCTTGCAGAGGACCTGGGTTTGATTCCCAGCACCCACATGGCGGCTAACAACCATCCATAACTCCAGTTCCAGGGGAATCCAACACCTTCTGACCTCCACAGGCATTGCATGACACAGGTGCACTTACACACATGCAGGCAATACACTCATAAATAAAATAAAAATAAAATATTTTAAAAATTGATTCTAAAGGTATAGGATGATTGTGATGGCTAATCCTGGGTGTCAACTTGACTGGATCTGGGATTAACTGAAATGAGAGAGATCTTCATTTCTTCATTGGGTCATCCGAAGCTGGAAGACATACCCTAAATGTGGGTGTTACCTTCTGATGGCAGCCCATATAAAAGGCCATGGCAGAGGAGAATGCTTGCTTTTTGCAACTTTCTTTCTCTCTCACTGATGAGTTTGTCTTGCTGTAGACTGAAGACTAGCCGATCTTTCGGAATTTATCAGACCTTCAGGAGCACCAGATTGGGACTACTGAGACATCCAGCCTCATGGACTGAGTGACTACCAGATTCTCAACCTCTCTAGTGTGGTACAGCCATTGTTGGACTACTCACTCTATCCCTGTGAGCTAATCTGATAAATCATATATATAAAATATTGGATCTGGGATTAACTGAAATGAGAGAGATTTCATTTATATATCATCTATAATCTAATTATATATATTCATTCTACTGGTTCTATTTCTTTAGAGAACCTTGAGTAATACAGTGATTGAAATCTGAAATCTGCAATTTTTCTTCTTCCAGTGCTGGGGATAGATCCCATGATCTCATACATACTAGGCAAGGAACTATATATTAACAGTTTCCCAGATATTGATAATGACACTCTCTGCCCACACTGTGAGTAGCAGTATTCAATCTATTCTATGCAGTATTTTCTCCATGGTTAAGGCAAAGTTCTGACAGTCACCCCTCTGTGTTCTTCCTTAAAAAATAAATAAATAAATAAGGGGCTGGAGAGATGGCTCAGATGTTAAAAGTACACATGGCTCTTTTAGAGGAGTTAAGCTCCCAGCTTATACATTGGGCAGCTCACAACCCCCTATAACTCCTGCACCAGGAGGATCCAATGCCTCTAGCCTCTGCAGACACCTGCACTCACATGCACACAACCACATACAAACATACTAGTATACATAAATAAAAATCAATCTTAAAAACACACACACAAAAAAACAACTGGGTATGGAGTGCATGCCTTTAATCCCAGCGTTTGGGAGGCAGAGGCAGATGGATCTCTGTGAAATCAGGCCAACCTGGTCTACATATTAAGTTCCAGGCCAGCTGGGTGACAGAGAGACCCTGTCTTAAACAATCAAACAAAAACACCACAAACCCCCCAAAACCCCACAACTACCACTACCAACAAAAAATTCAATGGCTTCCCAACACTCAGTAAAGTCTAAAAAGTTTGGTCCGTTGGGAGGCTCAGCTAGGAGTACTGCTGTGAGTTCAAGACCAGCCTAGGCTACACACTGAATTCAAGGTCGGCATGTACTACAGAGTAAGACCCAGCCTTAAACAAACAAAAATAAAGTTCTTGGTCTGATTTTCAAGGCATTTCATAAACATACCCTCATTCCCTCAATTATGTGTGCTCTCTGTTCATAACTTCCCTCACATTGTTGCTTTGGCCACATTATTTTGACACACATTCAGAATTTTCAGATTCATCAAACAAATTTTTAATACTGTCAGGTCTTCCTATGTCCTATTCCCCTATACTGAAAGTAATCTTCCCTTCCTGTGACTAACACACAGCAAGTCTCAATAGTTTATGCTGTGCTCAAGCAAATACAATCCTATGACGTAAAAAGTATGTATCTAGGTGCGGTGGCCCATTCTATAATCCTAGCACTTTCAAGGCAGAGGCAAGATAGTGAATTCGAAGCCAGCAACACAGCAAGACCAAAAGGGAGAGGGAGGCAGGTGGGGAGTGAGAGGGAAACAATGTAAATATAATATAAAAAAGGAAATGGTTCTTTTTGTTTTGAGACAGTCTCACCTTGTAGCCTTTCTAGTCTGGAACTTACTACATAGGCCAGGCTGGTCCCAAACTCCACAATAATCCTTTTCAGGCAGCAAAGTAGTGAGATTATAGGTGTGAGGTACCACACCTATACCAAATACCAAAAGTTTTCTCTCCTAAGTGGACTCTAGACTTAAATTTTATGTGTGTGTTTATAGGTCATGAAAGTGAAAAGCAGACTGTAAAAGGAGATGAAGATATATTAAGGGGGGGGAAAGAGTGACTGAATATGTATGACAGGAAAACAGAGGAGGGCAATATGAGGACCAGCAGAGTAGGGCAGGGATGAGGGAGAGTAGGGCACAGGGCACAAATTAGGGCAAAATATGACATATACATAGGAAAATTTCATGATTAAATGCATTGCTTTGTATGCTACCTTGGGAGTTTGAGGCCAGCCTTGGATACATAAAATCCTCTCTCAAAAAAAAAAAAAAAAAAAAAAAAAAAAAAAAAAAAAAAAACCCAAAAAACCAAAAAAAAAAAAAAAAAAGAAAAAAAAAAAAAGAAAAAAAAAAAAAGAAAAAAAAAAAAAGAAAAAAAAAAAAAGAAAAAAAAAAAAAGAAAAAAAAAAAAAGAAAAACAACCCAACCAACCAAACAATTAAAAAAAAAAAAGGGGAAGATCACACATTTAATTATACTACAAGAACTAAAAGCCACTATATTAATACTCACCATTTTCTTTATGTTCTCGTCTAAATGAGGGATTTTTCTAATTATTTCAAGATGGCTTTCCAATTTCTCAATGAAAGTCACAGCCAATTCCAACAAATGAACCGTATATCTGAAAGAGGGAGTGATATGGTTTGAATGTGAAATGTATCCCACAGACTTATGTTTTTGAACACTCGGTTACCAGTTGGTGGTTCTGTTTGTGGGGCTTTATGAAACCTTTAGGGCACAGGGTCTAGCTGGTATATTTAAGTCACTGGGGACAGACCTTCAGTTATGGCCTATTCCTACTTCAAGTGCTTCATGATCCTCCAAGATGTGAACTAGTCATGCTGCAAGCTCCCACAGCCAGATGGAGCCACCTGGCTATAGTACCTTCCAGATTGGATTGTACCACCTCTAAACTGTAAGTCAAAATCAACTTCTCTTCCCCATTTAAATTGCTTCTGTTAGGTATCTTGTGACAGGGATGAGAAAATACAGAGATAAAACAATTTAACTTTCTTTTTTAGTTTAATTCTTGTTTCTTTTTCTTTAAATAAGATTGCTAATTTGAGCCAGGCATGGTGGTGCATGCCTTTAGTCCTAGCACTCAGGAGGCAGGCGGATCTCTGAGTTCAAGGCCAGCCTGGTCTACATAGTGAGTTCCAGGTGAGCTGCGGCTACTGTAAAACCCTGTCTCAAAAAGACCCAAACAGCTCTGCTTCCCTGGGTCTGCAAGACCCGCAGGACTCTCTCCAGGGTAGGTCGATCAAGCCCTTTGCGCCTTGACTCCCCCAGCCTCATTCACCCTCCCATCTCCCCTGCGGAGGTCTCTCCTCCTAGCCTGGGTCCTGCCTTGTCTTGGCGCCCCAGACACCCGGGGAACCACTGTTTCCTGATCCTTTGCATCCAGTCCAACCCAGTTCTTTCTCCAGTCCCCAGGAGCACTCTAGGCCTGGCCCCGCCCTCACCTCCCTCTGCTTCACTGAGCCTGGGACATCTGCCAACCTCTTTCCTGGACACCAGAGCTGACCTTTCAGCTTCCTGATCCTTTGCATCCAGATCAATCCAGCTCCTCAGTGCAGGCCCCAGAAGCCCTTGGGGCTACTTCCCACCCCCATCTTCCTTTGCATCTCTGGGTGGCACGCCCACCAGCTGCCCAAGACCAGCATTTTCCCTGGGCTCAGCTCCCAGGCCAGTCCAACCCCCAGATTGCTGAGGCCAAAATTTTTCCTGGAGGGATCGAGACCTTAGGAGAAAGCCTGAGAGCATCTGATCCTCATCTGACTTGGGACTCTGTGGGAACTCCTGAAGACAAAAGCAATCTGGCCACCTCATATAAAATCAAAAAAGAGAACCAGAAGCTTAGAGGAACCAGCTTTTCATGCCCAAAAAGTAAACCATGAAGACAGATAAAGTGTACAAAAAGAAGCAGACCTAAACTTGAAGGCTTCAGTCTCATACAAGAATCAGAAACTACAAAAGAAATTCACATGTCAAAATCACAGAGAAAAAATAATAACATGAAAAAGCAAAATAACATATCCCCACCAAATACCAATAATCCTCTAGAGGAGTACAATGAGAACCCCCTAGAGATAATACAAGGCATGGAACTCAAAAGAACAATTATACACCAAAATCATGGAGAAAAAATAATAACATGAAAAACCAAAATAACTTATCCCCACCAAATACCAATAGTACTATAGAGGAGTACAATGAGAATGCACTAGAGAATATGCAGGACATGGAACTCAAAAGGACAATTATAAACATGATAAAAGAATTCAGTGAATTCAAAGAACACACAAAGAAATCAAAGAACTGAAGGATATAGGGATACACTTTTGAATGAATTCAGAAAAGAGCTAGAAATATTGAACACTACTCAGGCTGAAATGAAGAAGGAAGTGAAACACTCAGTAAGCCAATTAGAAACTACAGGAGATAGCCTCACCAAGAGGATGAATGAAATGGAAAACAGAGTATCAACACTGGAAGATAAAGTGGATGAACTAGACCACTCAAGCAAAGATTATGAAAAATTTAAGAAATCACAAGAATGGAATATGCAGGAATTGTGTGACACCATAAAAAGACCAAACTTACATTGTGAATCATAGGCACACAAGAAGGAGAAGAATCTCAAGATAATGGCATGGACCAGATATTCAACAGAATCATGGAAGAAAATTTCCCAAAGTTAAAGAAAGACATGCCCATACAAATACAAGAAGCATATAGAACACCAAACAGACAGTACCAGAAAAGAAACTCTCCATGGCACATCATAGTCAAGCAAGACCTTTGACTTATCTTCACATAGGCAGAACTGGTAAAAGAAAGGAGCCAGGGGCTTCTCCCAAGCCCATGTGACCCCTGAAGAACAGATCCTCAAATGACCTTAAGGGTAAAAATTAATTGGTTTATCTGGGCCAACTGTAAGGCTTTAAATATCCCAAAGGAAAGTACAACCAAAGATTAAAGGAGCCAATATAATGTTTTAAGAGTCCATATGTATAGCTAAAGCCTACATAACAAGCAACAATGCCTGATAGGAGATACCTTCTTTTGACTTGTTGGCCAGAGTGGCCAAAGGGACTCCCAGATAGTAATCAGCATAGAACTGGGAAAATGAACAGCAGACTTCAATCTTATCTAAAGGAATATTGACAACTGATTTCTGCTAGATGAGGAACAGCTGACCATCCTAAAACAAAGACCGCTAGACAGGCTGACTAGATTCACCAGAAGGGCAAGTAGTGGGGAATGGCTGGGGTTGCCAACAACACACCAGACAGTAGCAGGGATATCAGAGTATAAGGGGTCTAGTGTGAGGAGGGAGGCTATGGGAGGGTGCCATCTGGGAAGTGGGTGTATAGTTGAATAAGATGGTTTGGGATGTTCTGTGTGGTACACACACACACACACACACACACACACAAATCAACAAATTTTAAAAAATGTATTATATTTGAGGAGGAAGCATGGAAATTTACGTCATGTTAATTAGTAGAGGCGATAAACTTTACTATTGAAATCTACCCAATGACTTTATAGACATACACAGGCGCCAAGAATCCAAGTGCAACCAATTATGACTAGTAATAGATACATACAGATTAGAAAGGTATGCGCCAACATCTCAGTGTTAGTAGCAAGAACAATGAGTCTTTCTGCAAGGAACAATATATTCTAAAATGAAATGGAGACTTTTTTAAAGGTTAAGAACTCATTCAATTTTATGTCTTACAGGGCTTATACTGAGTTCAATATTGTATAACTGTATTCAACTGTGAACCTAGAAACTTACAGCCACCTGTAAGATGTATGCTTGCTCTGGAGTGTGTTACTGAATATGTTAAAGCTGTAATGAAACACTTCTTCTAATCATGTAGTTATTAAAAAAATTTTTTAAATTAAATAAAATTTTAAAAAAATATTCTTTTGGCTAGGATAAATATCTCTAACTGCTGGAGAGATGGCTCAGTGATTAAGAGCACAGGCTGGTCTTACAGAGGACCCAGGTTTGATTCCCAGCACCCACATGGTGGATAACAACTGTCTGTAACTCCAGTTCCAGGGGATTCAACACCCTTTTCTGATCTCCAAGAGCATTGCAGCATGACATGGGTGCATTTACACACATGTAGGCAATACACTCATATACATACTATAAAAATAATGTTAAAAATAAATATCTCAAACTCAACACGTATATTAAGCTCATTTCAAATTGCACTATGAAGAATAAAGTTTAATGAGGTCCCATTTGCTAATTGTTGACCTTAATTCCTGAGCAATTGATGTCCAATTTAGAAAGTCCTTTCCCACCCATATGTCTTGTAGGGCAATGCCTATATTTTCTTCTAACAGTTTCAGAGTTTCAGGTTTTACATTGAGGTCTTTGATCCATTTGGGGTTGACTTTTGTACATGGTGATAGATAGGTCTCTAATTACATTCTTCTACATGTGGAGATCAGTTTTCCCAGCACCGTTTGTTGTAGATGCTGTCTTTCTTCCAATGTATATTCTTGGCATCTTTGTCAAATATTAAGTGGCTGTAATTGTGTGCACTCACTTTTGGGTTTGCTATTTTGTTCCATTGATGTCTGTTTTTGTGTCAGTAATATGCTGTTTTTATTACTGTAGTTCTTTAATATGACATTAAACTAAAAAGCTTCTGTATACAGCAAAAGAAACAAGCAATCAAGTAAAGAGGAAGCTCAGAGCGTGACAGAGTCCTTGCTAGCTATACATCTCATAGAGGATTAATTTTCGGAACATACAAAGAACTCAAAAAACAAAAAAAATCAAGAAAACATATGACCCAATTAAAAAAATGGGCTACAGATCTGAACAGAGAGTTCTCAAAAGAAGAAATAAAAATGGCTAAGAAATACTTTTAAAAGTGTTTACCATCCTTAGAGAAATGCAAATTAAAACTACTTTAAGGTTTCATCTAATCCAAGTTAGAATGGCAAAGACCAAGAGAACAAATAAGGACATATGCTGGGGAGGATATGGGGAAAGAGGAACGAACCCTCATTCCCTACTGGGGGCAATGCAGACTGGTGCACATTGTGGAAATGAGTACAGAGAACTCTTAAAAACCTAAAAATAGATCTACCTTATGATCCAGCTATACTTATTCTCTGTATTTCACCAGTTGTGGAGCTCTGTGATAGTCTCCTTCTTCTACAAAAAGAAGCTTCTTTGATGTGTGGTGAGAGGTACACTTGTCCCGTTAGTCTGGAACTTTCTTGCAGCATAGGCAGGAAGGGCCTATGGGAACACGATTTGCCTGGGTGGTTTCTGACTGGCAGGTCTCTGGTGGGGGCCAATGCTTTTATCTTGGGGGTAATCAACAGCTGTCTAATTGGGCTTAAGGCCTGCTCAATGGGAGGCAAATCATGAGTGCTAAGTACTGTAAACATAGCCACATGGTTGGAGAGATCATAGGTTCTAGAGAAGTATCTACTTTTGTTACTTCCCTAGACCAACATAATTTCCTGTATTCTAACAACTATCCTTACATTTATAGACGAGTGTACCTCTCACCACTCATCAAAGAAGCTTCTCTCTGCAACAGATGAAGACTATTACAAAGTTCCCCAACTGGTCAAATATAGAGAACAAATGATTGTGGGGTGCTCAACCTTCAATGACACACCTATAATGCAACTTCTACACCCAAGGCTCAGAGAACACTGAAGAGGAGGGGATTCAAAGACAGTAAGAGCCAGAAGGACAAGATACCTGCTGCTAGTTGATGCATTCTAGACATGATAGGGAAGGAAGCTGCACCGATGTAATCGCCATAATATGGTAGACTAATGAGATCTGCATAATGACAAAACCAGTTGCAATGCCAAGGTGGATGGGGGTGATGTCACAGGATTCCACCTCAAGATGAAGAGTTGTAGGCAATCAATGGAGGCTGAGGGAGGGAGAATCCCTGAGAGGTTATCTAATCCCAAATGAAGAGTCCTAAACACAAGTACACAAAGTACCACTTAATGGAGTCAGTGCATAATATGTGCATGTGTGTGTGTGTGTGTGTGTGTGTGTGTATGTATATGTAACAATAAGAAAAATAAAAGGAAATTGAGAGGAGTGGGGGGACATGGGAGGAAAGGAAATAATGTAAAGGCTATACCCATGCATGAAATTCTCAAAAAAATAAAAAAAGAGTAAAGATTTAAAAAAAAAAAAAGACCAAAACAAAACAAAAGCTAATTTGAAATAAAGAAAATTATAATCAATCTAATGAGCATCAATAACCTTTTCATGGGACTATCAGTGATAAAAAGGCCTTCTCTTTCATGTAAAGAAAAACTTAAGCTGTCATCTAACTAGAAAAAAATGAAATGACACATTATTCACCGTATCTGAAACCTAACTCTCAACAATAAGACTTATTTAATATAGAGCAACTTCCCTGGACAAAACCTCATTTTATTTCAGAGAAGAATAAAGACAGTACTACATAAAGCTACTTTGAATCTCTAGATTTGTAAAATCTTAACATCATTACTCACTTCTTTTTTTTTTTTTTTTTTGAGACAGGGTTTCCCTGTAGTCCCAGTTGGCCTGGATTTGTTATGGAGACCAGGCTGTCCTTGAACTCACAGAGACATCCCTGCCTCTGCCTCCTGAGTGCTGGGATTAAAGGCGTATGCCACCATGCCCGGCTTTCAGTTCATATTTTTAAAAAATATTTTATTATTTTTATTTTGTGTGTATGAGTGTATTGTTTGCATGTATGTGAGTGCACCTGTGTCATGCAATGCCGTGGAGGTCAGAAGAGGGCTTCAGATTCCCCTGGAGTTAAGGACAGTTCATAGCCGCCATGTGGGTGCTGGGAATTGAACCCAGGTCCTCTGCAAGAACAACCAGTGCTCTTAACTGCTGAGCCATCTCTATAGCCCCTACTCAGTTTATATTTGACAGAGTATCATATAAAACAGATACTGAATATAGCCAAATGAATGGGGTTGTGTGTATCTATTACTTTACTACAAAATAAAAAATTCTGAAACCGGGGGCTGGAGAGATGGCTCAGTGGTTAAGAACACTGGTTGTTCTTGCAGAAGACCTAGGTTGGAATCCCAGCACCCACAAGGCAGCTAACAACTGTCCATAACTCCAGTCCCAAGGGATCCAACAGCCTCTTCGGACCTCCTTGGGCACTGCACAAAACATGTGCACTTACCTACATGCAGGCAATACACGCATACACATAAAATAAAAATAATTTTTAAAAAATTCTGAAACCTGAGAAAAGATACTAATTTGTTCCAGGTCAGCTACTGAGGCAGTGGTAGAGAAAGCAATCAGATCCCCAGATGCTTGTTTCATTGTTCTACTGTTTATTATTAGTAACTATCTATACTTTCAAATTGATATTTATAATACTCCCCAAGAAAGAGACAACAGAAACCACCCCCCATTCTATGGACTGGGCTACTGAGGCAAAAATTTAAATCACTTGCCTAAGACTTTGAAATATATTACCAATAGACGTGACAACAAAATGCAGTTTTTTCATCCTTAATCTACATAGCAAGTTTCAGGCCAGCTTGGACTATAGGAGACCTTATCTAAATAAATAAGCAAATTAAGCAAATAAATAAATCCAGTTTTTACCTTTCTTAGTATTTTCATCTGGAGATGTTAAATACCTTCAACAGAATTTTTTATATATAGGCAACTCAGTAAGCGTACTTCACAGAAAACAGTCTACACCAAACAAAATTTGGCTGGCGTGGTGGCACACACCTTTAGTCCCAGGACTCGAGAGGCAGGGGCAGACAGATTTCTTTGAGTTTAGGCCAACCTGGTCTACATAGCCAGTTTCAGGGCAGCCAAGACTACATAAGGTGACCTTGTCTCAAAAATTAATTAAACAAAAACAAAATTTATCTACCTTATTTCATGTTATGGATCCATTCTTTTTCATCAAAGCCATAATTTATACTTCCCAAAACACAATGGGCAAAAGAAAGTCCTTTCTTTTTACCATAGTTATAATTATTTAAAAGTATTTTCCTTCCAGTTTAATGCATCACCATAAATAAGGTTATTAAATATAATCAATAATACATCATTTTATGAATTATGCTACAGCTGCTAGTCTAAACAAAACTGACCTCAAAAACATGCAACTTTAGCTGGGCATGGTAGTGTACTCGGGAGGCAGAGGCAGGTGGATCTCTGTGAGTTCAAGGCCAGCCTGGTCTACATAGTGAGTTCCAGGCCGGCTAAGGTTACAGGGAGACCCTGTCTCAAAAAGAACCCCCCCCCAAAAAGCAACTTTTCTATTTCAGTCTAACCTGTGGTAAACAGCTTCCACCGGCAAGTTCTCCTGGCACATGGGACTCAGCAGTCTTTGTCTGAGGGACCGCTTCTCTTTTAACACTGCTTCCAGATGGTTATTCATGCTTTGCAGAGTATCACACTTCTGAGCTACATATACCAGAGATATCACAGCAACAAGGCAGGTAAGTTTTAGAATTGATAATAATAATTATTTCTTTGGTTTTTGTAATGCTAAAGTGAGCATTAATCCAAGGCTGGGTACACTGGCACATACCTGTAGTCCCACCATCAGGGAGGCTGAGGCAAGTGGATCACTTGAAGTCAGAAGTTAGAGACTAGCCTGAGCAACAGAGATCCCTATCTCTGAAATAGGTATTAATAAATAGAGAGACCAACTCCATAATTTCCTTTGTAAATATCCTTCTTACCTTTGTTATCTTTAATAACATCAATTTTTATTTTCATTTTCAACTACGTTCTCTTTTTTTAACATACTGGCAACCAAACCCTACTGCTAAATTCTTTCCTGTGTTTCTCAACTCTTTTTTTATTCAGTTTTAAAATCCAGAGCCTATTTTTCATATAAACTCTTTTATTATCTTGCCCCTAATATTATATCCACATGGGAACACTAAAAAACAATCATCTAGAAGTATCACGGGGGGGGGGGGGGGGGCTGGAGAGATGGCTCAGTGGTTAAAAACACCAGCTGCTCTTGCAGAGAACTCAGGTTCAGTTCCCAGCAGCTACATGTTGGCTAACAACTGTCTATAACTCTAGTTTCAGGGAATCTAACACTCTCTTCTGGCCTCTGTGGTTACTACATGCACATGGTATACTTACATGCATACAGGCAAAACATTCATACACACAAAAATAAATCTAAAAAATGTAAAAACAAATAGTCATCTAACAAGCTATTACTGAGTTCTCTTCACTTAAAGGCTGCCAACTAATCCTTTTATAAATTTGTGTTTATGTTTGTGCAGATGTGTATGATGTGTGTGCCTGTATATGTGTGCAGGTGCATGTGTATGTCAGAGGATAACCTGTGTGTTGGTGCTCGTCTTCCCCTTTGTTTGAGGCAGGATTTTTGCTGTTTGCTGCTGTGTATGTCAGGCTAGCTGGCCAGCAAGCTTCTGGGAATTCTGTTTTTGCCTCCCAGCTCTTAGTAGAACAACTGAGGTTAAAGGTACATATTACTGTGACCAGCTTTATGTGGGTTCTGGGAATCTGAACTCAAGGCTTCAAGCTTGTGTGGTAGATGCTTTGCTCCCTGTGCCATCTCATGAGTTCCTCCACACTTTACAAATTTTTAAATTGAAAAAATCAAAATGCAGAATTTGTTTTTGGAGACAGGGTCTCATGTAGCTCAGGCTGGTGTTGAACTCCTGATCGATCTTCTTGCCTCTACTCCCAAGTGCTGGGATGACAGGCAGTTGCTACTTATATTCAGCTATTGATTTTTGTTTTTTAAAGACACGGTCTCATGGGGCTGGAGAGATGGTTCAGCGTTTAAGAGCACTGGCTGTTCTTGCAGAGGACCTGGGTTCAAGTCCCAGCACCTACATGACAACTAACAACACTAACAACAGTCCATAACACCGGTTCCAGGGGATCTGACACCCTCTTCTGGCCTCTGTAGGCTTTGCAAAACACAGATGAACTTACATGCAGGCAATACATGCATACACATAATATAATTAATTAAAAAAAGAAAAGACAGGGCCAGGCGTGGTGGTGCACGCCTTTAATCCCAGCACTTGGGAGGCAGAGGCTGGTGGATCTTTGTGCGTTTGAGGCCAGCCTGGTCTACATAGTGAGTTCCAGGACAGCTAGGGCTACAAGGAGACCCTCTCAAAAAAGACAGGGTCTGACTATGTAACTGTACTGGATAGCTTTAGTGTCAACTTGACACACCTGGGTTGAGGGAGCCTCAACTGGGGAATTTCCTCCATTGGACTGCCTGTGGCCATGTCCATGGGGCACCTTCTAGATTGTTGAATGATGTGGGAGGGCCCAGCCCACTGTGGGTGGTGCCACCCCTGGGCAGGTGGGCCTGTGTTGCATAAGAAAGCAGGCTGAGAGGGGGGCCAGGAGAGCAAGCCAGTAAGCAGTGTTCCTCCATGGCTGTGCTCCAGCTCCTGCCTCCAGGTTCCTGCCTGAGTTCTGACGTTGGGCTCCCTGATGAATTGTGACCTGGAAGATGTAAGCTGAATAAAACTTTTCCTCCCCAAATTGGTAGTGGTCAGAGTGTTTTGTTACAGCAATAAAGAAACAAATTAGGACAGTAACTTAGGCTGGCCTCAAACTCCAAATCTCCTACTTCAGCCTCATAAGTATTGAGATTTTCAAACATGAGATACCATGTCTAGCTTCACAGAAGTTTTAAGAAAAGTTCAGTAAATTTCCATATACATTTGACCAAGATTCATCAATTGTTACCATTTGACTTTTCTCTCTTATCCTACTTCCCCACGCGCGCACACACACACACACACACACACACACACACACACACATTTTGTTCTCAAAAGGACTTAGTTGATAATAAATTGCAATCAGTATGGTCCTAAATACACAAATGTAAAAATTTTTATTTATTTGTGTGTGTGTGTGTGTGTGTGTGTGTGTGCGCGCATGTAGGTCAGAGGACAACTTGAGGAAGTTGGTTCTCTCTTCCATGTGGGTCTTGGGGATTAAACTCAGGTCATCAGACTTGATAACAAAAGCCTTTACCCACTGAGTGATCTCACTTGCTCATGATCTTTTATTATTATTTTTTAATATTTTATCATTTTTATTTTATGTGTATGAGTGTACTGCCTGCATGTATGTGAGTGCACTCGTGTTATGCAATGTGGAGGTCAGAAGAAGGCTTTGGATTCCCCTGGAACTGGAGTTAAGGATGGTTTGGAGCTGCCATGTGGATGCTGAACCTGGGTCCTCTGCAAGAGCAGTCAGTGCTCTTAACTGCTGAGCTATCTCTCCAGCCCCAATCTTTTATTTTTAAAACTTTATTCCAAGTAACCACAGAATATTTTCAAATTCAGAACTTGTTTATCAGGAAATCTATTTTTTTTTTTCCTCAGTACTAGGGCCTCATTGAACTTAAGGTTCAGAGGACAACTTTCAGGAATCAGTTCTCTCCTTCTATTATGTGGGTCCAGGGGATCAAACTCAGGTCATCAACCTGGGCAGCAAGCACTTTTACACTGCTGAGCCCTCTCACTGTTACATTTATTTGTGTGTATATGTCTATGTGTATGGGTGCATGTACATGAACAAAACATTTTATTTACTCATTTATTTTTATTTTATGTGTATGAGTATTTTTGTCTGCATGTATGTAAGTGTACCACATGTACACCACATGCAATGCCCACAGGGGCCAGAAGAGGGTGTCAAATCGGTTCCCCTGGAACTGGAGTTACTGACCCCATTGTTAACCACCATGTGGGTGCTGGGAATCAAACCTCAGTCCTCTGGAAGAACAATGAGTGTTCTTTTTAAAAATATTTTATTATTTTTATTTTACATGTATATTACCTGCATGTATGTAAGTGCACCTGTGTCATACAATGCCTGCAGAGGTCAGAAGAAGGCAATAGATCCCCTGGAACTGGAGTTACAGATAGTTGTTAGCTGCCATGTGGGTGCTAGGAATTGAACTCAGGTCTTCTGCAAGAGCAGCCAGTGCTCTTAACCACTGAGCCATCTCTTCAGCCCCAGAACAATAAGTGTTCTTAATCACTGAGCCATCTCTCCAGCCCTAGTTTGGTTTGGTTTTTGAGACAGGGTCTCATGTTTCCCAGGCTGGCCTCCAACTTACTATGAAGGCAAGGATGACCTTGAACTTCTAATCTTCCTACCTAGTGCTGGGACTAAAGCCGTGTGCCCTCATTCTAGTTTATATGATGCTGGGATTAAACCCAGTACCTCAAGCATGCTAAGCAAGCACTCTACCAATTGAGCTATGTCCCCAGCCTTTTTAGGAAATTTAGCATCATTATACTACCAATATTTAATACAATCCATTTTTAAACATCACTAAATGTCCCAATAATGTCTATTACAGCAATTTTTTTTCTGATCAAGTACTCAATCCATAATCATATAGCTCTTCAGCTATCATGTCACTTTAGATGTCCTTTAATCTGGAAAATTCATCAGCTTTTGTTTTCCATGTTCTTCATTCTCTTGGCTTTGATAAGCTACCATAGTTTGGAAATGTTTGCATGTATTCCACAAGAGGTCAGGTACTGATACTGGGAGGCAGCGTAGAACTTTCAAGAGTGAGGAAGCAATTATGTCATTAATGGTAGTACCTTTGGGAAGAACCCAGGTCTCTGGGCAACCCAATTTCAAGACCCCTCCCTGCTGTAGGGAGCTATCACTCTACTTAACAAACCTTGCTGGCTTGCCCTTAAAGAACAATACAACAACAAAATAGTTCTGCTGGGTTTCTGGTTAGTTCTCTTGGAAGGGTTGTTATAAAAAATCCCTGAAACACACCCTGGAGCCTTACCTTGCTATGTGACCTCTCCCTTTTGCCAAGAACTCCAGTGCTGAACTGGCAGGTACCACGCAGCCCTCACCATAGCTAATATATGCCTTGAAACCTCTAAAACTAAGTAAAATAAACTTTTTTCCCCCTTATATATATTACCCAAGCTCAGATACTTTGTTATGGCAACAGACTTGGTCACTTTCTATGCTATTTGCATGTCAACAGGACTTATATTTGAGCATCAAAGCTGAAAATTTTGTTAGTTATAAGACAATACCTAGGGAAAATTATGGCACATCATAATTCTTCTGCCTGGTGCTTTATATATAGTAATCCAAGATAAAGTTGAAATTCTAATGATTATTCCCTTAAAGAAACAACTTACCCAAATACAAAGGACGAACAAGATCTGCTGTATCTTTTTCTAGTTTCAGAAGTTCAATTTCCAGGTTTTTCTATATGAGAAACAAAAGTAAACTTTAGCTTACTCAGAAAAAATCTTGAAGTTAAAAGGCCCAAAACACTGATATAAATGAACCATCATTAACTCTGGAATATGCTATAAGACATATACTCCTTAAGTGAGATGGAGGAGGTGATTTATATAAAAGCTCAGGTAATTTGCCGAAGCTTTGCATTTTGGTATTCTTACCCTCCTGTTACTACATTAACTACTACCATTAACCTCTACAATAGACACCTGTCCAGCCACATGCTAGACTCTGTTCTAATTGCAAGAGAACACTTTTTTTTAATGTGTATGAGTGTTATACCTGCATGTAGGTAAGTGCACCTGTGTTGTACAAGGCCCATGGAGGACAGACGAGACTGTCAGATCCCCTAGAACTGCAGTTACAGACAGTTGTTAGCTGCCATGTGGGTGCTGGGATTCGAACCCAGGTTTTCTGCAAGAACAGTTAGTGTTCTTAACCGGTGAGCCATCTCTCCAGCCCAAGAGAACACTGTTTAAAACAGTTAAGAGATTTTAATTTGTTTTCGTTTTACAGTTAGGGATTGAACCCAGGGCCACACATATGCTAAGTGTCCACACTTCCACTGAACTTGGGATATAGTCTAATACTACTACTACTACTACTACTACTGCTACATACAGGTACACACAACACACAAACACACACACCCCCCCTACACAAACTTTTTGAAAAGTAGAAAGGGTAAAGATCATAATTTACCTGATAGATTTCAGCTTGAATATCTGAGATCTGCTGTAGTCTGGAGAAGTTCACAAAACAAGGAGTTGTTTTCTTAGATATATCTAACATCTCCTATTGGAAAAAGAATAGAGAAAGTAGCAGTATGTCACAAAAAGTGCTCTGTACAATGGACTAACCTACTCAAGGGACAAAAAAAAAAATAACATTTATGTCCAAAATTGCATGACACATGAAGAATAGAGCAAAGAGTAGCAATGTACTGATGGAATCAAACTAAAGCCCCCCAGCTTAAAGTGGATTCAAACCAAGTCCCCCAGACCAAAGAAGAATATTCAGAACAAGGAAGTAAGAAGTAAAATAAT